TATTAATGCATGAAAATAATAATAAAAATATTTTATTTATTTAATAATTAAGAAAAAAATGTTTATTGTTATAATGTATAGGTTTATTTTGTACTTATATATATATATATATATATATATATAGAAAAAAATAAAATAAATATATTAATTTACAAATTTATTCTTATTTAAATAAATGATTTTTTTAATATCTATAAATTTAATACATATATATATATATATATATATATATATATTTAACTACTGTTTTAATAAATGTCATAAATATAAAAATATTATAAAAATCAAATAAATAATTTAATATATATATTATTTATAATATGATATTATTTTTTTATTAATATATATATATATATATATATATTAAAATATATTATTACAAAATAGATTAATTCAAATATATTATTTTAAAGAATTGATCTATTTAATGTTAAGATAAAAGTTAAATTTCTTCTTCTTATTATTATTAATTTAATAATTAAAATATTAATTAATCTTAATTATTATATCCTAAGATAAATAATTATTAAAAATTTATTTTAATAATTAATTTTATAATAAGTAAATCTCTTATTAAATTAATTTATAATATATATATATATATATATATATATATATATATATATTAAAATAACATTTTATTTTATTTTAAAATAATCATTATTTTACATCAACCCATGAATATTAACTAAATTCATATAAATTATAATTTAACCTAACCAAAATAGTTCATAAATTATTTTAACTACACCTGATTTGTTTCTCATCACTTTATTTATACCTTATAAAATTTGTTTGGCATATTCATTAGTTGGAAACTTCAAGAAATATTTATGACATTTAATAAAAATTGTAGATGCTCTTTGAGAAAGTATTTAGGTATGGCAAAGCGGATCGGGTTCGCTAGCCAGCTATAATATGATAGGGTGGGTTGGTGTTTTCATTCACTAACCCGTTTTTGTCCGCCTCGTCAAGTCTGTCAACCCACGAGTTCAGCCTAATTAATAAAAAAATAATTTTCTATTATAATAAAATTAATTATAAAGATAATATATAAAGTTAAAAATTTTAAACAAATAATTAAAAAAGTCTCACTCTCACGAGAAAATATTCTTCTTACTGAAACACAACTTTCTCTCTCCTGTTCCCCTGGTTCATTTTAAACATTGATTATTTTTATCCTTATAACTTGAATTAAAGGTGTAATAATTACTCAACCAAGAATAATCTGAAGTTTTATCAAATAAAAAAAATATAGGTATTTGAATTTTTCAATATAAAAAAATATATTTTTTATAAATTTTAACGTTATTTATATATATATATATATATATTTGTTATTATTTATTATTATGTAAATTTTATTATTGTTCTAAATTATAATTTCTTAAAATAATGTATTGATTTATATTATTAAATTGAAATAATATATATATATATATATATATATATATTGAATTATTGACAAACAAATAATAATCTTATTATTAAATTTATAAAAAAAAATATTTTTAAAAATAAATTATTTTTTTCTAAATTATGGCGGTCGACCGCTAACCCACTTCTTAACGAGCGGACTAAGGTTTACGTACCGTCATGACTATAACGGACTGAGTCTATCCTATCCCGCTTTTGGCGGACCAAAAACGAGTGGGCTGACCCAATTTGCCATCTAGTATTTGTTTAATAACAACAATCCATCTGTTCCAATTTGTCAAATTAATAGAAAAGGTGAAAATCTTATCCAAATAAGTGTTTACATGTAAGATATTTCTATCATAATTCTTTTATATTTTATCAAATTATTAGTTTTAGTGCTATTTTTTCAAATAATATTTTTTTTATCAATATAGTAAAATGTTTAATGAAAAGAATAAATCCAACATAAATATAGAATTGGCGCATAATAAATCATTAATAATATGTTATATTAATATAAATATATCATATAAAAAGATTTATCTTGAGATTTTATGAAAGATTACTGAAATGGTTTTTTTAGATATTACAAATGTTTTGAAATCAAAATTAATCAATATGATAATTGATTTAGATTATGTAAAGTAATATTTATTTAAAATTTAATTATAATATCTCAATTAAAGTGAATAATAACAATCGTGTAGAGATAAAAATGAATATTTTATTATGAATTTAATATTTAAATTATTTAAAATTAGCAAAAATTGATTAAAATTAAATAAAATTAATTGTAAAAATATCATACCAAATTTTAAACTAATTATATATAAATCTATAATAAAATATTGATATTTACTTTCAATTAATTCTTATTAAAAAAATAGAAATATCTTTAGTTATTAATTATTATAAATTTTATTATAATAATTTATATAAATAATTTTATCTAATTAATATATATATATATATATATATATATATATTAAAAAAATTATTCATAAATAATTTTTAAGAAACTTTTTTAGAGTTTTATTGAATATCTTCTTTTATATAATAATGTGGCCAGTTTTTTTGACCAAAACATTTAATACAATTAAATATTCATAACTTACATTTAAAACCGTTATTAAAGTTAAAACTATGAAACGCAAATTATCTACTTGGGTCATGGACAAACTTCATTAATTTGAAACTGAAAACAAATATTTATGACATTCAATAAAAATATTAAATGCACTTTAAGAAAATATTTATTAAGATCAGAAATGAAAATCTTACCCGATCTATTAAATTAATGTGTGTTATGTGACGAAAATCATATCCCAATTACTATATTTTTATTTTTATTTATTAAAATTTAATATATATATATATATATTAATTGTAAAATATAAATATTTGTTCTTAAAATTATTAATTATTTAAGATAATAAAATGTTTTTTAAAAAGTTATAAAGAATATAAAGTAAAAAAAACTTTTTATTATTTCTATTTTATTATTTTATATTTGAGATAAAAAAAAAGCATGATAAAAAAGAAGTGAAAAAAATACAACATAAATATATATTATATATTTTCTCTCTTTAATAAAAATATTCACATTATATATATATATATATATATATATATATATATATATATATATATATATATATATATATATATATATACTATCAAATGTAACCCTATTAAAATTTAAGAATGAATATGAATAAGTTCATGAAAATATTTAATATAATTAACTACTTATAACTTATATTTAAAACCGTTTATTAAAGTTAAAACAATTAAATATAAATTGTGTACTTGGGAATGCACAAATTCATTAATTGAAACTGTAAACAATATTTATGAAATCTAATAAAAACATTAAATGCACTTAAGAAAGTATTTATTTAAGAATAAAAATACGTTAGAATGATATTAACTTTTCTAAGATTAAATATGTTATATGAAATTAGAAATAGTCATTTTGTTAAATTTCATGTACAAATTATTCTTATATTTTTAAAATAATTGAAATAATTATATATTTTAAACGGTGGTAAATATATAGTGATTTATCTAACATATATAATATGACTTATTCATTATTTGACACGTATAATTATTTAAAAAAAAACTCTTATTAAAAAAATTAGAAATTATTCATCCAAGATTATTATTAAAAAAACAAAATAAAAAAATATAAGTTTTTTTTATTCTCACGCACCAAAATTAGTATTAAAAAAAACAAAATTAAAAAGTAGAAGTTTTTTTTATTCTCACGCACCAAAACTCTTCGAGTTATCTATCGTTACAACAACTTTTCATTTTCTATTCTTTTTTTTTTCACAACTCTTTTTCGTTCTTTCTTTTTTTCTCGTCACACACCAAAGACCTTTTCTTTCTTCCCATTTCTCTGTAAAAGTTGTATAAAGTCGATGACTTTGAAGTTTGAGGGTTTCATCGGTTCGACTGACAGTGCGACGGTGGTGCACAATAGCAGTGTGTGACGGTGGTATATCATAGTTAGGGTTTCCATTTCCGAAAATTAAGATAGAGAAGTTTAAATGACTTGTAAATGACAGAGAAAATTATTTTAAAATGACTTTTAAATGTTATAAATGCGGATTTAAATGACTTTTAAAAGCTTAACACATTTTAATTTTATTTACTTTTATTTTTTTAAATAATTACACGTGTCAAATAATAAATAAGTCATACTATATTATATTAAACAAGTCAACATATACTTAACACCATGTAAAATAAGGACCTATTTTAATCATTTTAAAAGTATATGAATAATTGTTATGTAAAGTATGGAATGTTTTCAATTTCACGTGAAGGGAATAAAAATATTCTTAACCTATTTCTCTAATATAAATTTATACTTATATTACATACATAAATATTACTTTAAAAGTTATATTAATCGAACTTAGAACTATATTATATTTTTCGTTTGATAGTTTTTTACAAATAATAATAATTTACTCAAAATAAATTAATAATTAAATGATAAAAAAATTATGAAAAATAAAAATTATTTATCTTAAAAATAAATGTAACGAAAATAATAAAAAATAATAATAATTTACTCAAAATAAATTAATAATAAAATGATAAAAAAATTAAGAAAAATAAAAACTATTTATATTAAAAATAAATGTAACGAAAATAATTAGAAGATAAAAAAATGACAACTTTTAATATTTAATAAATAATAATTTAATGATTTATTTGAAAAAAAAATAATGAAAAGAGTGCGTGTAAGTGAAGTTTAGGGAAAACGCGTGATGATAATGAGTTACATTAGAATGTGGTGGGTTGGGAGTGACGCTGGACATAAATAAATAAGCTCAAACAAAACGCCCACACTTTGTTAAGTTTAACGCTCACAGCCAAACCTTTCGTTTCTTCTTCTTCCATACCAACAAAAAAGTAACAGCAGCTGTAGCAGTAACAGTTTAGGAGGGAACACACAAAAAACCCCAAAGCAAATCACCTTTTTCAATCTCTCTACACATCACAAACACTCTCACTTTATTCAAAGCCAAAACCAGAGAACACCAAAACAACACAACACCACAAAAATGTTCGCCGGAGAGAATGGCCTTAAGGGAGACCCCAGACTTCAAGCCATTTCCCAAGCCATCAGAGTTGTCCCTCACTTCCCCAAACATGGTCTCTCTTTTTCTCTCTCTATCTCTCTTTTTTTTTTTTTTATGACAAACCTTCCTCGTTCCTTGTCTCTGCTCCCTCTTCTTCATGTTCCGTTTTTTTATTGGAGACCTTTTCTTATTTTGTTGCTGCAGTTTGAACTTTTGCCCAGCAGATCTGCAACCATTGTTATATATATTTTTTGTTTATTTTTCAAGGAGTGTGCTTTGGTGATTAAATTAATGGGGTGGTGAAATTCGCAGGAATAATGTTCCAAGACATTACGACATTGTTGTTGGATCACAAGGCGTTTAAACACACGGTCGACATTTTTGTCGATCGTTACAGAGACCAGCACATTTCCGTTGTTGCCGGTACCGTACTGTACCCTTCTCTTCCCCACTGTTGTCCGCTACTATTTTAAAAAATCATTTCTTTTCTGTACCCTCTTGAATGTTTCGAGGACAGTTTTTTTTTTTTTTTTTTTTTTTTAAGTTAAGTTTCAGAAGGTGAAGCTAAAATTTAAGGGGTGTTAGTTTTGGCACCAAGGTTTCTCCTTTCCTTTGCAGAAAGAGATCCTGGCTTGTTCTTGTTCCTTAGTTGTCTCCGTTAATTAATATTTTTTTCACTTCATGAAATATTTAAATATTTTATTTTATGTGGTTTATTTTTGGTCTTCTCTGTATTAAGTTTTTCTTCCTATCTTGCTTTTCTCAACCTAATTTCTTTTTCGGTTTTCCTACCTATCTTATTATATATAAAAAAAATGCTTCGCATTCAGTTTCCCCCTTTGCTATTCGCGTTTTCGGTTATTTTTATTTTATTTTATTTCTATTTTGATTTCACGGCGATAAATATTTTTTTCTGGGTGGACTTGAGGGATAGGTCGTGGGTAGGTACCATTTTTGACATTCAAAGTATTTTCTACCTTGGAAGTCTTCTGATACTGATTTTTGACTGAAAAAATTGATTGACCTTAATTGAGGCCACATACATGTCTTGTAATAATAGTCTCTTCGAGAAAACAAAGCGAGGCATGGCTGTCATTTTTAACAATGACCCATCAACTAATGAAGGGCCCCTTACTAGATTTAACGGCAATTGCTTCGAGTGTTGCTATGATTGGTTTTTGTGTTGATTATTGATGCACTTGACTTACATGTAGGAATCGAGGCAAGGGGATTCATGTTTGGTCCATCAATTGCGTTGGCCATTGGTGCAAAGTTTGTTCCTTTACGCAAACCACGGAAGCTGCCAGGTATGTTTGTGTTCTGTTGAATCTTGAATAAGAGGTTGTGTCCAAACCTGGTCAAAGTTGAAACTTGACAAACTTGGTCAAAGTTGAGACTTGAAAGTTCCAAACTATGACCAAAGCAACAGAATGTGGATATCATTTTCTGAGTTTCTGTGTTACATTGCCTGATCTGCATTGAGCCATCTTGTCTAAATTTCTACTATTTGGTGCATCAATATTTCATATTAAAGCCATGGCTGCATTTAATTTATGGAAACTGGTTTAAACTAAAATCTCACTTCTGTATATACTGATCAATATTTTTGCTCGAGGTGGGAATAGATGTATTTTTTTCAGCAATGCCATTCCTTTTTATCCTTAACCTACTAACTACTAGAGGCTAAATTGGATCCAACTGTATTCTGTGTATTAAATTTTTTACATCAAATTCATCTTGAGGTGCCTAGTGCAAAACTGAAACAGTTCAGTTTCAGCTTACTTTCATGTACTAAATATTGAAGCACGTGCATCTGACTATCAGATGAAAGTCATTTGGGATCAATAATTACTGTCACGGTGTATTTAAATTGAATGCATATAGAATTAAACATGACAGGCAAATCAGTTATCAGAATCAGGTAATAATACTGATTCTAGATAATACTAGCATACTGAATAGTGAGAGCCAGCTTCATACCTTATGATTTTTGCAACAATTTGCAGTGATTCCAACAAAATTAATTGAATTGTTGCTCATCTCTTTGGTGTGAGTGGAATCAAACTTGTTCAGGTTTCAACTCGTTTTCCAAATCCCCTTCCCTATATGAAATTGTGATGATGACACCCCAGATGGCTGTTAGCAGGAATGAAATCTTAATTTAATTTCAATGGTTTGGACTTTTTTCAGCCATTTGGGTTATTTATACATGTAATTAGAGCACATTGACAATGGTGGATTGGGCCCTCGACATCATGGCTAAATTAACACTGACATGATTTTGTTTTTAGGTGAAGTAATTTCAGAAAAATATGCTCTAGAATATGGAACTGATTGTTTGGAGTTGCATGTTGGTGCTGTCCAGCCGGGTGAACGGGCCATAGTAATTGATGACTTGGTGGCCACAGGTGGCACACTGTCAGCAGGAGTAAAACTTCTAGGTGATTTGCAGCCTCTTTTTGGGATGGGGGAGGGTCTTACTTTTTGTCTATATTCTTTCCTTCTTTTTTTCACTTGTGATGGTTCAATGCATGTGGTCCCAACTTTTTTCTCTCTCTCTCTCTCTCTCTCTATATATATATATATGTGTGTGTGTGTGCCTTCTTTCAACTTGTTTTGTAGAACGTGTTGGTGCTGATGTAGTGGAATGTGCTTGTGTCATTGGTGTGCCTAATGTCAAGGTAATCACTAATAATTTTTCTAACTTATGCCTCTTTTGCTACTTACTCTCAGAATTTTCTATGCTGTTGAAGGTTACCAGAAGTTGAAATTCTAAACTGAAAATGTTGGTTGTTGATAACTAGTTACCAGTTTATTACATCTTAGTGTAGAGTATGTGGTTATGGTTAATAAAAACATTTTCAACTTCTACAAAATTGCAAAACACCGAAAATAAATTCTGTATAAAATGTTGGTGCCCTTCTCTTTTTTCAATTTTATTTTTAATAATAATTACAAAAAATATCAATTTGTTTCTGAAAAATTGAATTTTGATAAATTATGGAATTGAAATTTAAACTTTTTCTTTCAGGGGCAGCGCAGGCTTATTGGAAAGCCAGTTTATGTTCTTGTTGAGCCGCGTAAAGCAGATAAATGTTATCAAGGTACACCACCATCGACTAATTCCTAAATGGTAATTCTATCTAATAAACACACTTGAATTGATAGTTTCTTATAATAAGCATTTGGAGTAACAACTCTATATCTGTTTTGTTTCAGGTTTCACAATGTAAACATATTTCAAACATCTTTAGCTTTCTTTTAACGACTTTTGACCCTTGGTGCTACCTTTTATTGCTAGTGCGCCCTCTAAAATTAACACTTTTAGGGTTAACTATATGGGTTATAGTTAATTTTCAAATAAACTACTGAGACAATAATATAACATATATTTGCTATATGTAAACTTGTTAAAAAAAATAAAATCTAATTATTGTAAAATTTATAGAATGTGTATGGTATGAATAGAGAACAGTGTGAATGAAGTGCAGAAACTGTTTTATCTTTTGAAAATAAACCTATGAGGCTAAAACAAAAAAGAGAGTTTCATAGGGTTTGGTTGTGACCCTTGATTTGCAGAGGGGGCCAATATGGGTGCCGCACTGTGGTTGCTTTTAAGAGATGGAAAAGACCTTTAGAATACAAATCTAACACTAGTTTTTGCTTTTTCCGGTATTATCCTATCCTTACAAGTGCATGAATGATTTGTTGATGCAGATGTGATGTTAGTTGGATCATAGAAAAGGAGGCTTGTGACTCTAGAAAATGGCAAATATTATCCTGGCAATTCATGTCTTTATCTTCTTGTACATGTTAGCCATCATGGCCAACACTTTAGAACAATCATTATTTTAGAAGGGTTGGATTCTTCTCCGGTTTCTTCAACTATCTTTCCAATATTGCATCATAATAACCAAAAATTATTTAGCTTCATATCTACAACTGAAAAAATTATATTATAATTTATTACAAAAAATATATGAATTATTTCATGAGTCAAGTTTTTATACTTGGAGATCGCTCACGTGATTTTTTTTTTGTATTTTATTAATTCAGCTCGAGTTGTATAACCAAGAAAATATGTATTTTAAAAGATGTTATCATTAATTTTGAAAGACATATCACATGCAATGTTTTTCAATAAACTATTTTTTTGAAAATTAATTTTATAATTCTGTGTATAAAAAATATGGATCTACACTTCCGTATTTGAAAGAAAAATCGTCAACTTTCTCTTAAAGTAATCAAAATAATTAATTTGCATAATATTTTTTACATTGAATTCGAGTATAATAACCGATTTGAATTGTTAATTAGATATTTTGATGAAAATTCTCTATATAGTCTAATATGGAAAGTAAATAAGAAAAGGTAATGAAATAACTTCTAAGTTAAAGTTATTTTCTACATAAATTAATTTTTATTTTATATGATGTAGGACCAAAATGATAAAAAAATCTAAAATTAGAAGCTAATGTTTGTTGCTTCTTATTTTTAGATTTACAACGCGTATTTCTTTTCTTAGCATGATACTTGATGAGGCTTTAGTTCTTGTTTTTTCCAAAAAGTTAATATTTTATCTTCTTCAAAAAACTAATTTTAATTTGTATATAAATTAATTTCAGATTATATATCATTTTTGTTTTATTTTTTTATTTTCTTCTTATATCAATATTTATATAAAAAAAATCTAAACAAAACCTAAATGTAAGGAATCTACAAAGAACCAAAACAAAGATGCATGAATTTTAAGTGTGACTCGTAAGATTTTTAGGTTAACTTCTAATTTGTTTTCAATTTAAAAGTTTGTTTAACTAAATTAGATCTTTCTCCAAAAAAGAAAAAGATAGTTGTTTCAGTAACATCTTTTAAAACTTTAGTTCGTGTAGAACTTGTGTACATTCTTTGTAATTTCTTTGTATACATTTTTTTTATCACCGTACATTTGTTAATTTAATCGTTACTTTTAATTCAATTAGCCAACTTCATAGCTTTTCACTTCCAACTAATATATATATGAGTGTTTGCCCTTAAATTCGAGCATTCTTGTTTAGAGTGATTGTTTTATTTCTCATTAAGATATGCCACTTTTTCTAAAAAAGAAATAGTTGTTTTTTGTTGTTTATATATTCTACTCTTATGAAATTTTATTACGCAAATTCATTTATCCCAATTTAAACACTATTGACATACTGTATCAAATTGATTATATATATATATATATATATATTATTTACAAAACTAAATTATAAAATAATTTTAATATTAAAGCTGTGCAATAAGAGTAGTGTCCTAGCTCGTTGCCGTGGTTCCACTCAAACGGCCTCGATAGAGGGCTTAATGAATGTGATAAGTTATTTGACCAATAAAAAAGAATACGATGATAGCCGGAGAATGTGTTATAATATAATAATATATAATTATTATATTATTATTTGGGATTGTTATATATTCCGTAATTTGAATCCTCCCTACATTATTGCTCTCACAATAATCATTTTTCTCACATGATTACCTCCCCGATGCTCTCACATGGTTATATTTGTAAAACTTGAAAGCATGCTAAAAGTCTCATTTTTTAGCATTTTAATTTCTCGTTTAATTTTCAATTATTACCAAGCAAGGCTTTAAAGAACGTATTAATTCTTAATATTTAACAAAACTAAACGCTATAAAATATTTTAAACTATAAAAGATTAATAAAAATAAATAAATTATAAGCTAATTAAAACTCATATAAAAAACTATTTGAATCAACTGATACATTTTTACAGAGAACGGAGAAAGACGAAACTTAAGTATATCAAAATCGAATTAGGCTTCGCCTTGGCGACCTATTCTTTTGTTTTCCCCGTTCACGGACAATAATAATAAACCTTTTCATAACACGAATTCCACCTCCAAAGTATATTAAAACTAGAAATTTTATACAAAAATAATATCTTTTTTAAAAATAATTTAAATAAAATCCTTATACATTTATTTGTTGAACTAAATCGATTTACTATTTATACACTAGAGAAGTTATCATTCCACCCATCTTCTGATAACTGCTTCAAAATAAATTTATATAAATTTTATACAATAATAAATCATAATCTTAAATTAATCTAACATAGCGCTATCAATTCATTATTTGTTTTAAAGCCATAAAGACGAGGTACGATTTTAAAAATGAGTAAAATAAACATGCTAATTCAATGTTTCTAAAGCTATAAAGTAAAGAAAACAAAAACAACATATTTTCTAAATGTTTGATCAAGCTAAATTTCTACATGTGTGAAGTTCATTTGGAAATGGGGTGCGAGACAAGATCAGGGTCACGATTGAGACCCTAAAGGCCCAGTTAGCTCGCCCCATACCGCAGCCAGGGTTTCTCCATGACATGACCACAGCTATTAAATACGTTTTCTATTAAACGAAAATAAAGACGAAGACTAGAAGGGCAACAAATATAAATTTATATTTGATGAGTTCCAGCTTTTCATTATTTGAAGTTCACAAAAAAATGTGGTGCAAGGCTCGTATAGGCGTGTAAAGATAAACTCGTACAAGTTTAAATACATTAGGAGGGGAGCTACTGCACTCAGTATATATTAACTCACCTATTAGGAACGGCAAATGATCATCCACCGGGATAAGAAACAGTGGGCTGTTGGTCAAAAGCCGACCAGCGATATATATTAGCACTTAGCATGTATTTCTAAGTACTTGATACAGTTTCCATTGAAGGGGTATCATCACTTGCTGTCATGTCAAATTTCAGAGCGTGCCTTGTGACGCGGTTTGTCTGTTTTCTCAATCTAACATTATCTATGAACAAGTCTGCTATGATCTTTCCCACTTCATCGTCACAAATTACACCATCTTTTATGCCATTGGTTTTATCTACATTGGAAGCCGCACTTCCATATTCCTTTTCTAAGCTTTCTACCTGATCAAATTTAAATAAGTTCAGTAATTAGAGAGTTTGTTGGAAATAAGTTTTTCTGCATGCGTTGCATTAAAAAGAGGTAGTCACAATTCAATTCTATACCTGGTAAGAACATAGACAAAGAAAGATATGACTTACCTCTGCTAGTAGGATGTCCATTTGGTCATCAGATGTTGTTAATTGATTAAAAGCATCATTTAATGACGATGAATTCATGATTGCCCTATCTTCACATTCATAAGGAAGGCTGACATTGCACTCTTGAAGCTGGTTGAAAAGAAACCTGCATTTCTCCAGCAGTTTTCTCTGAGCAGCTTCTGCCTGCTCCCTCTTCTCTCCTTCGTGAAGTAGTAGTTTCTAAATACACAACAAATTCAAGCATAGCATCATCTTATATGTCATACATTAGGATTTGAAGGCCATATATCAAACAAGGAATAGTATGAGCTGTTTATTACATTAATTAAATTTCTAGTGAGGAGATAGAGAGACATTACAGAAAATGTCGGGGAAGGAAAGGATAACAAATAAATGCATAGCATAATAAATACATAAGAAGGAGAGTCAATGCAATACCTAAATGCAAGAACTGTCAAATAAGGAATGAGTTTCATTAACCCCTCTCCCCCCTTCCCACATGGAAAATAGTGTATATACAAAACCTAGAGACCTACTAATTCAAAGTAAGACAAGTAAATTGACAAAGTTATTTTTTCGGGGGAAAATATTAACTGTCGAGGGAAAACCTCCTGCAGAAGATTATATGTGCAGTAAGCTACCTCAGTTTCACTGTTTTCCTTTATCGTCTCACTAAGCTCTTTCTTTAACTTTGTCTGGGAATTACGAAGAGATTTGACCTCTTTAACCAGAACTTTAATATCTGCTTTGGATTTTGCTTCTAGCTCTCCATACTGTTTCGACAAAATTTCAAGCTGCTCTTTAGTAGCTTCTGAATTCTGCAACAGTACATCATTCTGCTGTTGAACAATTGATTCCTTCGTCAAATTCTGATAAGAATTCCGCCCCTGGATATTATGTCATGAGACATTATTTAAATGAACAAGTTCTACAAAGAAAAGTTTAATATATGTAAAATAAATGCAAAAATTTCCTACCGATTCTGACTTTAGTTTCATCTCCATTTCCATTGATTTTCGTCTAAGTTCCTCCATATCCCACTGCATTTGGGTAAATCTTTCCCTCTCAATTAGAATAGCCTGCTGCAAGTTCTCCTTATTTTTCTGTTTAGTAGTTTCAAGTTCTACTTCCAAATCCTTGACCTGAACAGATCCAATCAGTTATGGACATGTAAAGATTGAGCTTACATGCTTGCCATAGAATCATTACATCCATACATATTCATGGATTTTAGATATATTTATCTTCAACTTGGCTAGTCTCTCATCAATCCGATACAATTTAACTGAAAAATATATATAAAATAATTTACAAGGTAATGCATGCCAGATCTTGTACCTTAGTTGCAAGAAAATCCTTTGCAGTTATTTCTTGATTTAATCTAACAATAAGGTCCTCCATATCAGTTTTTGCAGTGCCTAGCCTTCGTTGCATGGTTGAAAGAATCCTGTTCAATTTATTGCGTTGATCTAGTGGAAAGACTAATTGAGTATCACCAGTAGACTTCAACTTTGTGTGGCCCATACTATCTGTTTCTCTTGAAACCAAAGCAGATCCAGGAAGGTCGTGAGAGCCATCACCAGATGAATTTGGAATTCCAAAATTAGAGATGTCACTACCTCGTAATGAGCTTCCATCACTTCCAACACTCTCATTTGAAAGCTTACGAACATGACCAACAACCTTAGCATGCCCAGGCTCAGAGAAAAGCTCCATGGTATTATGATTAACTAAAAGTGAAGAATCATACAAGTTACCATTACTTTTGTCTTTTTGTGTAACATAGTTCACATGTCTGGCATTTGCTTTATGCCTAGGAAGGCCTTCCAATTGCTCTAGAATAGTCTGACCCATAAATAAACCTTCGTCAATATTTGATATGCCATATTTCACAAGCTTTTCTATTGGATTTGTAATATCTTCATCTAAGGTTAGGTCATCTGTACCAACATCAGAATTATCATCCCGTCCAACTCTTGGTGTTCCTAGGTCGGATGGCTCATATGCAGTATCACTACCATAATCGGAGGCAACTGATGAACTGCCAGCAACTAATGATAAGCTTGAATGGAGAGGTGATTGCACAGAACAAACTGTGTTATTGGAATCAGGAACTGTTTCAGAATTTTGCTGGGTTGCATCTTGGAATGCTGAAAGTGATTAAATGAGGTATAAAGTATATCAAAATTTCGGAAAGCTAGCAATCATTTAGTATAGAATAGACCAAACTAACATGTATGAGGTAACTAAATGAAAGTTCAAAAGACAATCACATACAAAATCTGGCAGCTGCTTCTAGTTCAAGAAATGATGCCACTGCAGCACATCTTGATATATCAATGTCAGACAACAATTTGGTGATCCACTCCTCCAAAGAGCTCCTTCTCTGTAACAAAAGTATGTCTTAAGATTTACTGCCACTGATACAACTTCTTGCATTCACAATTATAAACTACTGCAAAGGTAGCTCAATCTAACTGTGATATGAAATTTTTAATTGGCGGCTATAAAATGAGATGGAGCCATCTGTCCAGTTGTCTAAAGTAGTGTAGATAACAGCTATCGGAACAAATAAACAACCTTGTTTAAGATTCAGTTACAGTTAGTTAATCCTATATAGGGTGAAAATAAGAAACCTACTACATATTTAAAAATATTTTTTACTAAATACTCTATAATCTCTTTAGCTTCACATTAATAGAGAGAATATGGAGGCAATTTTCATCCTCATTTTTTATGTCTCAATTTCTCTGACTATCCAATTCAAATAATTGTTCAATAACCAAATAGAAATATATAAGAGGCTGTTGAGATATGAATTAGCTCTGTAAAAGTTCTATAGTATTTTTTTTAGAACTGAAATTTAGAAGTTTGAACTAAAAATGGTGCTGAAAACTTAATCTAGTTTCAGTCACGGACAAAATTGGCACTTTTTCTTTCCGTTAGGTCAAAGAGAATAGATAGCAGTTAAGTAGTTAAAGAGGGATTCAATGAAAGGATTTGGTGAAAAAATATGATGTCTAGCAGAATTCCGAAGGAACTTAATTTATCATTTTTCTAGGTAAAGACATTGATTGGGCCCATTTTTACAAGACAATTGCAAATATTAAGAAATATTTAGACTGTAAGCATTTTGTTTAACACATATCTAAAAGGGTCATATAAGGGTTAGAAATACATTGCTGGTTGTAGTCCACTATGAGGCTAAATCCTCTCCTGACTTGCGTCTGAGCCCAGGTTTGTAACCAGCCATTCAAATGGAAGATTTTGTCCTCTTATTTATCAATAGAAATAAAATACATACCACCTTACCTAAATTTCTAGGAGCTAGTAGCCTACAGTAACTAAGCATCTAGACCATGTATGTTCTTATAGAATAAGGAAATTCAAGCATGTTGAAAAATCAATATGCAGATCCATAATGCCATATATGTAACAATTGGTACTATAGTAAGACTTTCCGAACCTCTTCTAACAAAGCTCTGCTTTTCAACCGCAAGAGTCCCTTGGGCGGTGCTGGAGGGATACTTTTCCTGGGAAACTCCTTATTAAGCTACAAAGACAGCATGTGGCAAAAGTCTAGAAATCAGTTTAACCTAAACAAGCACAGACACAAATGCAAAATATTTATCTATATATCATACACACACAAGTGCAACACAGGCTATGCGGCATAATTACACATTTATAACCCAATGATTCTATTTTCATCTAATCACCAAAATTATTCATAAGAAATAAGAGATAATTGAAGCTTCAAAGAGTTCCCAGATTCCCGAAGACACTTAAACATATCTACCATTGGAGCAAAAGAGGGTTGGCTTCTCTCATGTTTTTGTGCGGCCTGTCCATTAATTACAAGGCTTACTATTTTCAAAACTTTCCATGCATGTTTGTTTATGACATGAATTGTTAATGTATAATTTCTTTTGATCTTGTAAAGTTTCAAAATTTCCTGTTTTGAAAATTCCATGTTACACCTTATACTCTTTTTTTTTTCTTGGGATAGAATATACCACAATAGAATCTTGATACTCATTAACCTTCAGATTTGCATTCCTATATTGTCTAAGTAAATTAGAAAGAAAGCCATTTGCAGATTAGATAAAGGATGTTTCAAATTTACTGAACAAAGTAAAAGAGCTACATTGTTTACAAAACAAAATTAGGGTCACTCATCTTCTACGAGTTTAAAATGCAGGGAAAATGGGTAAAAAAGTGAACTTCGTCATCACTGTTGACATATCTTCCTGCTTATTTTCACTTCATGGAGAGAGACCCCAATCAAATAAGTTAAAATATTTCTTCTTGAAGATCTTGCCTATCCTTACTACTGTCATATTATAATAAATTGAATGGTTTTATAGAAGTGTTAGACACTAAAATGGGTATCAATCAATATGTATGTGCAGAGATGAGAGTGCTTAAATGAAAACTTAGCTACCAGAACCAGGGATGAAGTACAATACATGAAAAAAAAAAGCAGTTAGAAAGAGTAAACTTACATCAGCAAACAACTTTAGAAAATCATTGAATCTTCTTAGTACTCCATGGAGCCTTGTAATCCCTTCCGGTGACTGTACACCAACTTGAACCCTGTAGAACTGTCCCTTGATGATGTTAAAAATCAACACTCATAAAGAAGCCATTGTTTCCAATAAACTATAAATAAATGGAATGCGAAAATTTGTAAACCAATGCATATGTCGCTCATTTTATCTTTTCAAAAAGACAACTTGCTTATTCGTGGGTATGTCCTGTTTTATGTTTGCAATCATTTTTTGTAAATATTTAAACACTATACACTGTAGCAGTTCTCAGAGTTAGTTCAACATCTCCTGCTAATGATTCTTGTCAGGCATCAACATTATAGCACTCAATCCAATTGATACATAAACTACATACTGTTAATCATAAAAATAACAGAAAGAAACAAGACAGCTATCTGGAAGCAAATTGGTCAGAAGTAGCATATTTAGGGTGGCAAACCACTATACAAAATGGTACAGCAAAAATGAACCGGCAGGATGAGTCTTTCAGTAAAACTGTCTCCTTATATGTAGAATTAAATTAAATGTGTCCAAACTTAATAAAGAAGAAAGAACATCAGGGATGCAGAATATGACCATAACAACAAATGCTGCTGACTTAAAATTGCACATGTACTTTGAAAATAATGATGGCAACATTAGACAGTTCTAACTATAGGCACAGAGAGACAATGATGTAAGGATGGCATTCATGTTAGAAAGTTATGATTGATACAAATAAACTCAATGAAGTCATTTACCAGTGGATATTTGAAGTAGTTAGACCATGCACAAAATAACAAAGAGAACAAAAATAAACTATAGTTTAATCTTTCTTTCAAATTCGATGTTATGATGCCATGTGTACTATATTATAAAGAAAACTCCCACAAATGGTCAAACATTATAATTAGCCGATAACATCTTGAGTTATTATTAACTCCTTTCAACACTTGTGCGTCTCCCTCACTGCATCTCTGGAAAGAAATCCTGCCCAATTCTCCTCATGCTTCCAATTATAGTCTACTTAAGAAAAATCACAAAAATTTAAACAGAACTTTTAAATTGAATATATGATATTTCAGACTGATTATATACTTCTAATCCTAACAAATCCAGACTAGAAATGTGGTACAAAATTACTCCTGAATCTGACAATGAATGAAAATTTGAATGTTGATAAACTTTACCACTACAGGATCTGAATTCCTTGTTTTTGGAACAAAGCTCCAAGAAGGTATCGTGACACAATAACTCCAACCAGTAAGATGATTGTGTGGCCACACTGTATCTCGGCCATTCTGTACAACAAGGACTTCAGAATCAGATGGGAGTTAAATAAAAAAAAATTATAATCAAAATAATTGCACAAAGGAAACCATTTTATGCATAAAAGTCATAGAAAATATGAGCTAGCAAATAATACCTCAAAATGGAATAGGAAAGAATATTAGATTACAATAACATAAAATATTCTTGAAATGATATGCTTGTGTTGGCAAACTAAATTGAACAGAATTCTAGACAAAATTCTAACAAAAATAAAATGAAGATCCATAAAATGTTTAGATTTTAAAACAATTGAATATAAATATTGTCCTTGTGAGAAGAACATGCAAATTTATAGTTTCATGTTCTCTGCACACCTCTAATCCACTTGGAAGAATAATGTCAAAAGTTTTCAAGAAATTTTCGTCTTTTTGATAATGCTGGTAAAATATGTTAACCATTATTATAAATGGCAGAGTTTTGAACAAAATAAGAAAATCCTTTCCATTAACTACAAAACTTCCATGTTAGACTTCATCCTAAAACTAATTAGAATTAAGTAAAATTGTCCAACGGTTGTATAAACCATATCCCAATAATTGAGGTAGACTATGTGAGACTTTCAAATACCAAAGATGCCTGCCAAATAGGTAATACACGAAGGAAACTATGTAAACTGTAGAAATTCCCTCCACAAACCAAAAAAGCAATGGAATGGGCTATAGGTTTTGATACTCTATTAGATTTCATCTCAAAAACCAATTAATATTTAGTGAAGTTGCACAACAAGATATATAAATGATATTGAATTTAGGTGGGATAGATGAAAGAAACAAAAAGATAGAGAACAAAGAGGGGATGAGACAACAAAACAGAATAAGGTGGTCAAAGAATATGTGCAGTGCACATTTTTCAGTATTTGAAAGGCTTGAGATGCTGGTTTTGACCAATTAAACCCATTTTTTCTTGATATAAACCCCTCCCTATATGCATTCGGAATCAAGTGAAAGATAAAAGAGACTATGGAAACAATAGAGATCTCCTCCACAAATCATACAAATAGAATGATTTATAGGCTTTGTCGTCATGTTAATGTCATCTTATTGAAGTTCCACAATAGGGATATAAACTACATCTCAGGAAGTGAGGCAAGACTACGAGACTTTCCAATGGTCCAAATGAGTTTAAGACAATTTTTCTTCCTTTCATGAGAAATTATAGTATGTTCTAGGACCATCATATGTCCTTAGTTCTGGTCAATCTCCATTAGACATGCAGCAGCGATTTTTTTCAATTTACGAGAAAGCGGAAATAAATCTCAGTCCAGCACCATATTAGCCAGCACCATTGACACATAGTGATCACGGTTTACACAATAATTTCTCCACTTTCTTGCCAATCATAGGAACATAGCATTGGAAACATGGCTTCCAAGTGATCATGAAGCAATGATCTCCGCGGCTAAAAGATAAAAGTAACTAAAACACAGGTTTCCGTTGCATTTAAACACCAAAATAGGACACCCTATACGCCGAATAAAATACACTCTTTAAGATGTTTGCAAAACACAGTTCATCACGATCACGCACATCAAACAAATCACGACAAAAGTGACCTAGAGAGTAACAATAAACTCTTTGATCGTCACGGACAAAGCGAGAAAAGTATTAAGAATGACGTTGATCGAAGAAAACAGAACTCATTCATTCAATCGCGCAAATAAAACTAAAATTACATTAGAAGATTAAGACAACTAACCCATTTTCGAGGCGCAGGGCTCCAATCCATTCCGAGAGGCAGCGGCGAAGTCCCATCGTGCCTGTGCTTCGGAGGACTTCGTCTCTGCATCGTATTCGCCGTCGTCACAGCCAAGAATTCGCTCTCTATTTCTACAATTTGAAGATCATAATATGATAATCCGAGTCGAGCGATGGGAATGGGAATTGTGATGCGAAGTGAGAGTGAGGGAACCACTGATTACTAGGGTTTGGGCGATCAGATCGGACAAGGTGGAATCTGTGCCGTCGTGGGTACGGCGGAGGGGCGCACGTTAAGAGCAGAAGCGGCGACGTGGCTAAGAAAAGCCGCGAGCGCAGTGCGTGCGTTTTATGTATCCTGTACACGTGTTTAGTCCAATGAAAAACGAACAATTCAAGTGGCGTTGTTGTTGTGCTGTGTACACTGTAGATAGATAGAGCGTAGTGCGTTTGCTTTGGGACTCAAACTGGAAAAAAAGAAAAGAAGAAAGTAAAAGAAACAAAACAACCACACCTAACTTTCCTCTTCTATAAAACAGCATCAGGGAGGGGAAAACGATACGGAAATGGGCTGGGCTCCAATTAACCATCCACCACAACACAGTTTTATTGTTACATCCCCCATCTTCTACCTGCACTTATATCTCTTCTGTTTTACTTCGAATATTATCTAACTTATTATTATTATTAACGACCTAAAATATAATTTATAGGTTAAAAAGTTAGTCATTACGAATTTTATTTTTGATATAATACATCTATTTAAAAGTATTTATTCAATAATAACACGTTTGGGTCAATGATTTGGATAACTGAATTTTTCACTCCACATGTTATTATAATGTTTGGATAAGTTAAACTACAATGGAAATAAATGGTATGAAAGTGGTTTAGGAAGGATTTATGTGTGAATAAATAAGAGAAAATACAGTAGAACTTTTTTTTATTATGATAATGGAAGGATTTAAATTAATCATCTTCTATTATGTCTTAATTTTTATTTGACTAAGGAATTTTTATTTACAATAATGTTTTTTTGTACTGTTTTTATAAAAAAATTACACCTAATATTCATCGGCACAATACAAACACACCACCAAATGGTCGTCGAATTGTACACATTTAATTTTCATTTTATATAAATTATTTTTAAGAGAGTGAGTTGATGAAGCGTAAAATATATACCAAAATTGTACTCAAATAATTAGATACAATATTGAATATCAACTAATAACGTAAAAATATGGATCCCATTGAGAATTTGGGAGAAAATAGCAGAGAAGAAAAAACTGATCTAATTCATATACTGATCGAATACAAAAGGAAAATCCAATATGTTTGAGGAAGAAAAGAAAGTTAAATATAAAAAGGAAAAAAGTCAAATATGCAGTTAGTCAAACCCGCATAAAACAATACTAACAAATGGAAAAGGTACACGTGTAACTAATAGACTAATAGCCTCCCTCAAGCCTGGAGAGTGAATATTAAGAACACCCAGACTTGGAAATATTGTTAAGAAAAGGTGAAGGATCGAGAGCTTTGGTGAAAACATCTCGCAAGTTGATTTGTAGAGGAAATGGGAAGAAGATGGAAGAGGTTGGCCCGCACACGATCTCTCGACCACATGACAATCAATGTCAATGTGTTTGGTGCGTTCATGAAAGCTAGAATGAGTAGCAATGTGACGAGCAGACTTGGTTATCACAATAGATGACAACTTGATTGGGCTTGAAGATGTTGAAATCATGAAGCAAGTAATTGAGCCATTGAAGCTCGCAGCTGGTGATAGCAAGAGCCCCGTATTCTCGCTTCGTTGAGGAACGAGAAACAAGTGTGTTGTTTTTTTGATCGCCAAGAAATCAACGAATTACCCAAAAAGATACGGAATCCAAGTGGTAGAGCGACGAGTTGTCAAACATGAAGCCCAATCTGAATCACTAAATCCTTTCAATTGAATGTTGGAATTGGAAGAGAAAAACAAACCTTGACCAGGATTAGCTTTTAAATAACGAAGTATACGATTGACAGCGACTTGATGGAAGACAATGGGCTTTTGATTAAACTGACTTAGAAAATTAACAATGAAACTTATATCTCGGTCGCGTATTTGTAAGATACAAAAGTCGTCCAATAAGGCGGCGATAAGCATCTCGCATCACAAAGATCAACATTATCATCGAAAAACAATTTGGTGTCCTTGATAATAGGAGTAGAACATGGTCGAGCAGACTAGATGACCACCGTCAGGCAAGGATATCAAGAGTGTATTTGCGTTGACAAATGTGAATGCCTTGTGTAGTACGAGCAACTTCTAGGCCAAGGAAATATTTCAGTTGTCCCAAATCTTTAATCCGAAATTGTTGATTAAGAAATTGCTTGACTGTGTTGATTTCATCAATTGAATCACCTCCAAGAATTATATCATCTACATAAATGAGTAAAGCAAGTGAAGGAAGAAACATTTTTCTTTGTAAAAAGAGAATGATCGATTGAGATTGTATAAAACCAATTGAAAGAAGAGAAGTAGATAATTTGGCAAACCACTCGCCTACTAGCCCGTTTTAATCCATAGAGGGATTTGGTTAAGCTGCGACCTGATTTGCTTGAGGAGGTATCACGCCAGGGGGGATCCATGTACACTTCCTCATTGAGGTCTCCATGAAGGAAGGCATTATTGACATCTAGTTGAACAAGATGCCAATTCTTAACAACTGCAATAGCAAGCATGAGTCTAACAGATGGTAATTTTAACAACAGGAGAAAAAGTGTCTAAGAAATCTACTCCTTCTAATCGAGTGAAACCCTTAGCCACTAGTCTAGCCTTATGTCTTTCAATAGAACCATCAGCTTTATATTTGGTTTTATAAACCCATTTACAACCTATAGTTCTCTTTCCAGGGGGAAGATTAGTGAAATACCAAGTCTTATTTTCTTCTAAGGCTTTTATTTCTTTACGCATAGCATCAATCCATTCAGTGGTAACAAGTCGCTTGTTTATAAGTAGTAGGTTCAAAATTGTTAGAAATAGCAAGAATGTATTTCAAATGTTTTGAAGATATTTTTTTATAAGAGAGAACAGAAGATAGAGGATAAGAAATGATACTATTTTTAGATTTGTTGGTGTTGTCATCTCTTGGAGGATTGCAATAAGAATCGAATTGTTGGAGCTGTCAAGTACTTAAGGAATTGCAATGGAAATCCTGCAGATAATATGGTGCCTTTCTCATTCTAGTAGATCTTCGAGGAGCAGGCTGGTTAGGTGTTCGATTGGAAATATCTTCTTCGTCACTTGGAAGGAAATATCTTGAGGATTTGAAAACGGATGCACATGATTAGACTCGACTTTCTTATGCATGAGATTGTTAGAATCAAAAAAGAATTGAAAATCAATCAATGTGAAAAGATCAATGTCATCAACAATATTAGTTTTAACATAGGGAAATTCATTTTCATAGAATATCACATTTCCGGATATAGAAATTTCTCTAGAATGTAAATCAAGAGTCACATAACCTTTGGTGCCAGGTTTATATCCAAGGAAAACACTTTTTCTGGCTCTAGGATCTAGCTTCAGTACGGTTGTTATGAATTGTAGATGTGAAACAAAGACAACCAAACACTTTTAAATCATTAAGAATAGGAAGTTGATTATGCAGAATTTGGAATGGAGATTGGTTCCTTATGGTTTTACTTGGCGACTGTTGATTAGGTAGATAGCATGAACAACAGACATAGGACCAAAAACATTTTGGAAGATTGGCTTGAAATAACAAGCTACGTGTGACATTCATTATGTGTTGATGTTTCCTCTCTACCCTTCCATTTTGTTGAGGTGTCTCTACACAAGAAGTTTGATGAATAATACCATTTTTATCATAGAATTCAGGATAAGAAAACTCTTTCCCATTGTCAGTTCCGAAAATTTTAATATTACAACCAAATTGGTTTTTAACAAGGATAATAAAATTGTTCAATAGACTCCTAGTCTCATGTTTATTCTTCATAAGAAAAAGCCATGTGTGTCTAGAGAAATCATCAACAATAGTAAGAAAATATCTATGACCATGTATAGAAGAAATACCAATGGGACCCCATATATCTATATGAATCATTTCAAAAATTGTACTCGGAAACATGAATACTCGTTATTAAAGGGAAGTTTATGTTGCTTGGCCGAATGACATACATCACAAATTTTTTCAGTGCTATTATGAATGTAAGGAAAATCTTTAATCATATTTTCAATTATCTTGCTAGAAGGATGTCCCAATCTGTTGTGCCAAAGATTGGAAGTGGAATAATTTCTGCTGCGAGTATTAATACTGGTGTTGTCATCAGTAGGCACAATTGAACTATTATTACTGATGTTATTAATATGAGACCAAGAAAAAACAAGTATCTTGTTTCTGTAAACAATACAAGTCATCTTTCAGATCAAGCATGCCCAATCATCTTCAATGTAAGAACATCCCGAATCTGCAATGGTTAAAAGAAAAAATCAATTTACAATTGGAATCAATAATCAGCTTTTGAGCATAAATTATATTAAATTCAAAATTGGGAATATGAAGAACATTATAGAGTGTAAGGCTATTTGAAATACAAACCGTGCCAACATATTCAACGAGTGACATGATTACCATTAGGTAATTTCACATGCACAGTGTCTGATTTTAGTAAAAGTTAAAAAATGATTTTTATTGTAAGCTACATGATCAAGTAGTCCCGAGTGTCTATAATCCAAGATGAACAGAGAATACCTTTGGAGTCTTGTTGATCACCATTATTATTTTTAAACTGATTGATCCTATGAGTAGTGTCTTGATTCTTTTCTTGCGAAGTTTTAATAGTCTGTTGAACTTGTTCACCTGTCAGTCGACTATTCCGAACAATGTGCACTTGATTTTTTGATTCTTCTTCTTTCAAAACGTTGTCAATCATAACGAGTGTTGACAATGTAATCATTTCGTTATTTTTAAACCATGGAGGGAATCCGTGTTTGGCATAACATTCATCAACGATGACGGTGCAATTTATTGCAAAAAGTACACTCGTTTACCATAGTTGGAATTCCTCCCACGTCCACGTCCTTGGTTCTTCCAAGATCCACGTCCTTGAGTTTTCCAATTTTCTTGATTGTTAAAATTCACAATAGGTCCTTGATTAGCAACTGTCAAAAGAGTTTTGGCATCAACGTGACTCACTCCCGCCAATTGTCGTTCTTGTTGCGGAATTAACGAAAAACACGATTGATTCCTGGGAGAGGCTCCATTAAAAGAATTTGAGATTTTGCAGTGGTGAAGACGTCATTTAATCCCTTCGAAAAACATATTACATGTTCGGATTCACGATAACGAGCAATGATTTTGAAGGCTTCACAAGAACATTGCAGATTGCGAGTACAACTAGGAATGAGACGCAAGGATTCCAACTCTTCCCAAAGAGTTTTGAAATCTGTATGGAATTCGAAACGCTTCTTTCTCCTTGCTTAATGGAGTGCAATTCCTGTAGCAGATCGAAGTCCTAAAATGGTCTCCTTTTG